GGACAAATGAATAATGGAACAATATGATTCGCTGTGGCTGTATCTAAAATAAACAAACAAAAAATTAACTATAGCCGCCATATTGTTTCTGGTCTTTGAACACATGTATTTTGCAAGTGTTGTTTTTAAAATTGAAAGTTACCCTCAGAGAAAAAATATTGTGCAGAGAAAATTTTATACAAAATGTCAAAGCTAGAAGCCGTTAATTTCGCGAAAGAAAGAGGGAACCGTGAGGCAGCCAGGAAATTCAAAGTTGGATAGTCCACTGTGCGAGAATAGAGGAAAGAAGAAGCAGTTCGAAAATATTTACACCAGAAGGAAGGTGCAGTGAGGCATAGGAGACGCTTCTGGCCAGGGCTCGAGAAAACACTTCTCGAGTGAGTTCTTTCAGAGAGATCTAAAGGACACATTTGTGAATAACCAGTATTCTGTTGAGGGCAAAAGTGGTTGATGAAAGGAAAAAGAAAAAATTATAAAGCTACGCCACATGGCTTTTTAGATTCATGAAATACAATAATTTATGTATCTGCTCATCCACGAGTGTTGGCCAAAACTATCCGATTGCTGGGAAGCGAAAGTAGAAAAATTTAGACTTTTTGTTAAAAAAAGTTTCTGCACGTTTTGGCAATATAGACGAAGTACCGTTTAGCTATGATCTGTCTGGTTCAAAAACTGTTAATTAATATAATTGAAAGAAGTTTCCTTAACCATGACCGCACATGAGAAGTCGAATTTTAAGCGGTCTCTTGTGTTAAGCGTGTCTTCCGCTAGCCGGAAACTTCCACCCTTGGTTGTACGTGTGAATAAAGTAGTACCTAAAAGAAACTTTTCAAAGTCACTTTGATTGCTGTGAATGAGAAAAGATGGATCATTCAAGACAAAATGAAAATGTGGGTTGAAAATATTTGGAGAAAAAGAAAATAAGTCGTTTTTAATCCAAAATCCTTGTTAATAATGTACTCTTGCAATGCGCATATTACCGATAATGTGAAAGGGTTAGTCGCCAAGTATTTCGGGTGGATCAAAAAACAAAGATTCAGCCACTTGATTCATCCGTTAATAAATCTTTTATGTCAAAGTTGCGACACAGATGGGGGAAGCAGATAATGGCAGGAATTAAAGACTATAGCAAATCGGGAAACATAAAGAGGTTTCATATGAAGAAATTTGCAGGTGGATCGTTGGAAGTGGGCAAGGAGTTCGGGGTTTTGTGTAAAACTTCTTTATCTTCTTCATCTTCCATCGCCGCTTTTCCCTTCGGGTCGCGGAGGCAGACGCGTCAGACAGTGCTTCCAACGTTCCCGATCCTGTGCCAGAGTCTG